AGCGCGGCCGATATCTACTGCCGGATTGGTCTTCCATCATATAACGATCATGCACTGGAGCCTACCGATCCTACTCTACCGCCCATGTCGAGCAGAGAGCGTTTGAATTACACTGAAGCAGCCCCAGTCCTTCAGACAGATCATGTCTCGGACTTTTCCGACTTGGACACCAAGTTACACATACAAACCCATCTCCAGATTCAACGTGCGTTCAATCTGGAAGGGACCGCAGTCGCTCGAGGAAAGACTGTCGTTGATGAAGACGGTCTCGTCAAAGCTGTTTTGAAGCGCAAGCGCGACGTCCGCACGAAGAAGTCACTCACATGGCCTGACTTTTCTGAAGCGTTCGATATTCTCGCGTCGCCTCCGGCGACCACTTTCGCCGTGTCAACGGCCTACCAACTCGCTCCATCGTCGTTTGATCGCACATTCCGCATCGTGGTGGAGGACCTTGCGCCGTATGTCCGCAGCATCGTTGCACACGAGCTCCGTCTTGATGCCCAAAGACTTCGGCTCGGAAACCTCCTATCTGAAGGCGGCACTGGCAAACGTGGAAGAACGACTCGTGCAAGTCGCGTAGCCCTGGAAGGCGGCAGGCGCGAGACGAAGAGAAGAGAGAATTGGTTTGACAAGGATTTGAACAGGACATTAGCAATGGGCACAGCCGGGGACAGCTGGGCTGGGCTTGGTGCTGTGGGGCATGAGAACGAATCTGTGTCTGCGTCGATGACAGGCGAGAGCCTCGTGAGCACGCAAGAAGACATGATGGAGTAGACGCGGCGTATTGGGGATGTAGGAGGGTTTTATCTTGACAGCTTTGCACGGGACTGGAGCATGATTGAACACGGTTTAGCATATTCAAGGCATATCATGATCGTACTTTTGGGCGGGTATCTAGCAGCATTTCTATCATATCCAGTCGCATCTGCGCGACGCAGAGACAATAGCATATCGTTCCCATCCGAACGCCTACCCATACCCTGTTTGGCTATGCTCTGTCATCTCCATTCTCAAAGTCTTTTTCCTCTCCCTCCCCGATATCCTCAAAGCAGCTCATCCTCCTGCTCAGCCGGCAACGGCACATTCGCCGGCATCACCACCACATCCTTGACCTCTCCACTAACTTCCGGCATCACCGCCATGCCATTGGCCTCTGCACCATCCATCTCTTCATCACTCACCCACTCCCTCCCGCCACCCTCCTCTCCTTCCTCTCCCTCCTCCCCCAGCACCTCGAACCCCTTCTTCCTCTTCACCTCGTTGACCTCGTCCCACCCCTTCTTTCTCCCCCGCCCCTTCTTCTCATTGCCCACGCTCCGCTGCACCTTGACCTCGAGCTTGTCCAGCGCGTCGGCCGCCTTTTCAATCGATTTCAGCTGCCGCAGGCGTTTCTGCCGCTTTATGGGCTTGGACTTGGATTTGGTTATACCAGAGGAATGGGCGGCGAGGACGTGCGGTTTCGTGGCGGTTGGCGATGTTGTGCGTGGAGTGGGTTTGGAGGATTTGGGGATTTCCAGGGAGGGGGAGGCGCGGCGGGCGGCGCGGGAGTGGATTGAGGTTTCTGGGGGCGGTTAGGGAGGAGGGTTGGGGGTTGGGAGCGGAGGGCTTACGGCGCTTTTTTGTCTTTGCGGTTTTGGCCATTTTGGTGGTGGGGTTGAGGGTGGTGGATTGAAGATATTCGCGCAGGCGAGTTGGGGGGAAAGTATGGTGAATTTATTCTTGTGCGCTCAGAGAAATTTGCCGGCGTCTGTATTTCATCTGTCGACTGAAATCTGGCCAAAATGTTTGGTGAAAGTCGCCCAAGATTTCTAGATATCGATAGCTCGGTCTTGGCATTGATTTCACACGCGGCGCGGAAGTCTGACGGTCAAACCCCGACGTACACTCACCCTCACGCGCTCCACAAACACGTCGCCTGCCGCCACCTTCGCTCCGTCTTCTCACGCCCTCCTCCTCTCCATGTCGCATAAAAGCCCAACACCAGCGCGTTTGGTCTGTCCCACATCGCAGTGTATGCGTTGGCCAAAAGGTTGAAGCAACCCATCCCCAGCATCCTCATCTACGCGCACCCTCTCCGACATTTGCTCGACAACCTTGTAGACACGCAAATTTACAAAGCAATGACCAGTCCGTATTCTAACGATCGCGCAAAGGACGCCTTTCAGCGGTACCCTACCGAAAGCCCTCTCTGGTCCGCGCTATTGGCTTCTCTGGTTGGCGCATACGCTCTCTTTAAAGCTGCTGAGCTTCTCGGATACCCCGTCTGGCTCTGGTTACACCAGATTACGGAAATCATGCTTGAACGCCCAGCCGTTCTCGTAAAAGCCTTATCAGGACATGACGCAAACTCCCAGGACACGAATCACGAGGGCAGTACAATGCTCACCAAGTTTGGTCTGAAAAGCACAGGGCTGTTGAAAAAGGGAGTGCGTGGTGTCACAAACGGCTGGTCTAAGAGCTACAGCGACGCGCCTGCGGGCTTGGGCAACTACGACAACTCCTGCTACCAAAACAGCATTGTGCAAGGCCTCGCATCTCTCCCTTCGCTCCACGAATACCTCTCTCGAACAGTCGTCGAGTTCCCGGGTCTTGATAATAGCACAACTAGCGGCGCTCTCCTCGACATCATCGATAATCTCAATAGTCCCACGAATCTCGGGCAGCATTTTTGGATACGAGGGGTCTTGAAGTCGATGAACACCTTTGAGCAACAGGATGCCCACGAGTACTTGTCCAAGGTTATGAGCGCGTTGCACAGCGAGATGAACAAGGAATTGAATAGTAAGAGGCGCTCTACGGCGTCCTGGCTATCAGCTCTGGAAACCGTGAGTGGCTTACAGGCAACCATAGGTGAAGAAGAGTCGCAGATGGAAACCGGTGATGATACCAACGAAAGATCCGCGAAGCGACGCCGGTTGGATTACCCCGACTCGTTCCCGTTGGACGGCCTCCAAGCCCAGCGTGTAGGATGCTTGCAATGTGGATACACAGACGGTCTGAACATGATTGAGTCGAATTGTCTCACTGTTCAGCCCGGTTCTACTTGGCTTTCGGATATTCGCGATTGCATCAACGAGAGTACCAACATGGAGAAAATCGAGGGTGTCGAGTGTCCGAAATGCACACTCCTCGATAGGAAGAGGATGTTGGTAGAATGGGTCTCTAGGCCAGACTTTCCGTTCAAAGCCGATTTCGACAAACGCTACCGCGATATAGAAGAAGCGCTTGAAGATGAGGCCTTTGACGATGACACGTTGATCAACAAGTGTAAGATCCAGAAGGAGTTTTGGGCGAGGACCGTCAAGTCAAAACAAGTTGTATTTGGCCGCCCACCAAAAGCACTCGCCCTTCACGTCAACCGGAGCATGTACGACATGTTTGGACATTTAAACAAGAATCGTACAAAAGTGGACTTTCCAAAGGTTCTTGATCTTGGGCCATGGGTTCTTCCCGACGGGGACTGGGAGAAGGATCCTAACATATCGCTGGTACGAGGGCTGAAAGACGATGGAACGAAGCTGCCAACGCGAAAGGTACGTGACTCTTGCGGCGAAGAATATGATGGTGCCAAAGTCGGGCCCGTATCCAAGACCACAAGAAGAGAGGTCGTCGCTATTCCCAGCGCTGTAACTGACTCTTTCCAGATTTTGTACCGACTCTGTGCCGTCGTAAAACACTTTGGCCAACATGAGAATGGTCACTACATATGCTACAAACAACGCCGAAGCGTCACAAAGCCAACGAATGATGAGCCGGCGGAGGTTACAGACGAGCAAGTCAATGAGCGATGGTGGAAATTCAGTGATGTAGACGTCACCGAAGTTTCCGAGGGTAATGTCTTCGGCACTGGAGGCTACCACAGTGGCGATGTTTTCCTGGTGTTCTACGAAAGGATTCACGAAGACCCGCCGCCCGAACCGACAACGAATAACGACACGGCTTCTGCTGATCCCATCAGCGAGGCTCCGACAAACAAGGTCGACGGCTCAGACGATTCTGGAGAGTCGGACGCGAACATGGAGATTGCGGAGTTTCTCGAAAGCCTCCAGCAGGGGACAGATAACGGGACGCCGCCTCGCGTCTCTGTTTCGCCCGAGCCCGGGGACAGCGAGATGTCTGATAACGAAGCCCAGCCCAACGCCTTCGCTTCACTGGAACCTGGGGATAGCGAGATGTCTGAAAACGAAACGCGATCACACGTCTCCATTTCGCTCGAGTCCCAGGACAGCGAGATGTCTGAAGCAGAAACGGTCTTACATGAGGATTCCGTGGGCACTCCTTCCACTCAACTTACATCTGATGACGAAATTGACGTGGAGACAAACACAGTAGAAGACCCACAGCTTAAACATGATGCGCAGAGACTAGTACATCCACCGCCATCCCCCCAGCTTATGAGGTCGGGAGATTCGCCACGGAGAGGGCAGGGAGGGGCCGCGAATCGTCCACGGTTCACGGAGACGTATTGAGTGACGACACACATTCTTGGTTAACTTTAGCGTTGCATGGCATGGGTAGTACCCCGGGATGGAGGCGTTGGGAACCTGTTGTCGGCGAGCCAGGTTATCGGTCGAAATGGAAGGTGGGATTTTGTTATGCACTTTATTAGAAGCAAGCAGCATTGCATTATTGCATAACGTTATCATGATATTGTGTTTGCGAGCCATGTGTGAAGTTGGATGAGGAGATAAGTGATCGTTGTGCATTCGACGAGCCGCAATGAGGAGTCTTGTATGTCTTTCCTTCGATACATGCTCGCAGCGGGCTAAGTACTAGGCTAGGAGATCTAGGTTTCGTAGCGTGAAGACCCCCATACTATCAAAATTGAACGTTCTATCCGTCACCTATAAAGAGAAAAATTAAGGTTGCTCATAGGTTTAGAGGAAGGACATCTGATTTCTTCCAGGAATGGCCGGATGTCGAATTTCCAGATAGATGATTGAGCAAAAATGCAAAAAAAAAAAAAAAAAAAAAAGACAAAAAGAAAGTCAGAGTCAAATTGACCATGCCAGGGGTCGAACCTGGAATCTCTTGATTACTGCGTTATCGTAGTCAAGCGCCTTGCCATTGGGCCACATGGCCCGAAGGACCTGATTTATTTAAATTTGGACGTATTGAGATTAATATAGTACTACAAAAAGATGACAGCATATACAAGAGACATAATCTGTCTTCTGCACGATATGTGCGCTGCAAACGAAGCGGGGCGCACACGCCAACCCCACTGCAGGTGCCCGCACGGTGAAACCGACGGTAGCCGAAAACGAGGCGGATCGTATGCATTAAGCCGACAATAGCCGAAAAACCTGAGGTTTGAGTGTTTGAGCCGGCGATAATCGAAAACGAGGCAGATTGAACGTTAAAGCCGACAGTGGCCGAAAATCAGTGGATTGAGCACTACAGTTATTCTACAGCCATTTCCCAATCCAAACGCTTCTCATGACTTGTCTTTCATCTCGCGCAGCGCGCGCATCACCTCGACCGGCTCGGTCTGCCCGACGACTTTGTGGATCTCTGGGTCGGCGACGCGCATGAAGACGTTGTGTTGCTGTTCGACGCGTCAGTAACTTTCACAAATGCAAGCAAAGCTGGACTTGCCTTTTCGTCACCGATTGTGAATTTTCCCTGCGTTTCTTTGTTTGCTTGGCTGTAGTCGTCGAGCCGCTTGATGGCGTCGTTGTTCAGCACCTTCTTCGCGAAGCGCACGTTGCCTTTGGTGTACTCGTGGCCGGGGAACACTTTGGTGTCGTCGGGGAGTGAGCCGAGAGTCTCGTTTAGCGCTTTATGCATTTCTTTTGCGTTGCCTTCGAAGAAGCGGCCGCAGCCGCCGATGAACATAGTGTCGCCGGTGAAGACGGCCTTGTCGGGGCCGTCCTCGAAGAAGAAGCAGATGCTGTCTTGGGTGTGGCAGGGCGTGTGGAGCGCAGTCACTTTGATGTCGCCAATGTTGAAGGTGGAGTTGTGGTCGGGCGTTGTGGTGACCTTGGTGCAGTCCTTGCCGCCGATGATGGGGAGTTGGAAGTGTTTGAGCTGGAACGTCAGTGAACAGACTCGGTATCTCGAGGAGCTTGGCCTACTATTTCGACATTACCACCTGCGTGATCGTGGTGGATGTACGGATGTCAGTCCCAGTTGTTTGGTTATTGCAGGTTCGTATCTTACTGATGTGTGTTGATGATCTTGGAAAGCTTAATTGAGCCGCTCTCTGTCTTTTCCTTTAGAACTGGCAGGACTCTGTACTTTATTTAGCTTCTAGCAGTATTATCATCGTCTCCACATACTCGGGTGGGTTTGCAGGGTCAATGATGACAGCTTCTTTCGACTTGTCGTCCGTTACAAGGTATGCATAGTTGTTGCCAGTCCCCTCCCCTATTCTAATGCATCAGTCCTGTTCACCGAATACATGGAGGTGCTCGTACACATAGGAATCGACGAGATATGCATGGCGCGCGCACTGCTTGGCTTCATGGCCTTAGCTCCATACATTCTCCTTATCATGTCGGGCCGCTACTTACTCGTGCAATTGAGCTGAAAAAGGGCTGTATTGACGTCCGTTTCAAGACGGCTGCGAGTAAGCTCATAAGAACGATACTGATGAAGAATCGCTGCCGAGTTGACGGAATCATAAAGCTATTATGCGAGGAGCTGCCTCGGATGACGTTTTGGTACGCGGAGTTAATCTTATCACCACGTGCAAAGAGATCGGCGAAATTTAGGCGCTGGGCTCCGCTCCCTGTTGAACCAGCCATCCATCATCAACTTTTTTTTATGTACCATTATTTCATCTGTGCCGTCGCCAGCTATTAATTCGACTGTCCTCTGCAATACTTTTGCTACATTCATCGAATAAGCTTTCTAGATCCTCCATAAGCCCCAGTCCAAGTCGGGCCCATCAAGAAAATGAATGGTCTATCTGTCGTCCATCTGAATTGGCATGGAAGCAGAGTTGCGTGTGAAACTGTTGCTCGCCTGCCTGAAGGGAGGGCGTGCGTTAACCAATGGTAACCAATTGGCCGCGAGACAGTGACTGCGACCCTCAAGCGCGCCAACGGTAAACGGGCTTTCATTGTCTGAGACCGCGACTTTACCAGTGTGCCCCTTCCACAGAAGCCCCTAACAACACACCCCTTTCCATCTTCCAAATTGATTCTTCGAACTTCGACCACCTTGAGGCACGATGCCACCAGCATTAAAGCGTGATGAGCGCCGACTTGGCCAACGACAAGAGCTTAATCGCCGGCACCCTAACTCTGCCAATCAACCGCAATCTTATGATCAACCCCAAGCGCATCCAGAACTGTCAGGCCAAGACCAAACTCTATACAAACTCCCAACGTATCGATATCCTCACACCTTGAGCTTCATCAATGACTTCACCCCTGAGGCAGAGGGCAAGATGGTCTGGGATTTCAAGCATGTACCGATAAACCAGACATCATGTAGGGATGGCGAAATTCCGCTCGCAAAGACTTTCAAGGCCAGCTTTGACGACGAGGCGAGCAGTGGAGAGAAAGACCAGGGTGGCTGGGGAGCATACGTTCTTGACCTGTAAGCCAATAATCCTTCATGATGGCGTTGTCAACGCTGACTTGTACTTTTAGTGCAACAATGGGCTTTGGATGGGCTGCGAAGAAACTCGGCTTTGGCACCCCAAATCTCGACAAGGTTCCAGTCCATCAATCCCATGCGATCAAGCGACGTCGCAGCGGAAAGCCCGTGGCTAACAATGCCCAAGTCACTCTTCTTCACTCACTAGGACAGCGTAATGCAGACGATTCATCGGATGATGGCACCCCTTGTAAAGGGCGTCCATCTAAACACCGTAAAATTGCAAAGGACTTTTCGAAGTGTATTCGGAATGGTGGAGGAAGTAGCGATTTTCTTCCTCCTGAGATTTTTGACCATACCTCCGACACAGAACCTGAGAGTGAGGACGAAGAGAAGATGCAAAGGTATCTGCGCAAGCCGAAAGAGAACCCTCGCCCCATCGAAACAGTGTTCGGTCCCGGTGTGATTGTTTTCCGCTCTTTTGGGGGGACCCTTCACGCACAGCTTCCAGAGCGAGTCGATGAGATTGCCACGTTTTCTCAGGACCTCAACGGCCGCAACGATGCAGGAAATTTCTGCATCATCTCCATGCCAAGTACCGCGTGAAGGCCGAGGCTGGGATGCAGGATGGTAAGACGCGATAGCGTATGCGGACTACTTCAACATAAGTCCGCTTCTGATTCACCGAGCTTACTTTGCCTCATTCTTTCATTACTGAGAAATCTTGCAATTACGAAGGGAACCAAGCTCTACCAACTCCCGGTCCTGCACCTGAGCCAGACCAACAAGCTCCAAAATTCCATGCGGCTATTAAAGCATCGAAGCTTGTGTCTGGAAGATGCATTTGGAGAGCTTTAAGTTCCTTTCGAAATCAGAACCAAAGCGGCCCAGACTCGAAGTCGTGGTGAGATTCCACGTGGAAGACCGTTCAGCAACTATGCTCACGATTACAAATGAGAATGTCCATTCATTAATACCTGGCTGGACTTTCACAGCGTATGGAAGGTACATCTTCTGACACAAGCAGAAGGACATGTCACAGCCGTAGGCTTATCGTCCACAGAGGCTTTGGGGGAGCTTTCTGTGCAAGTAGTCAAGCAAATCCAGATATCAATATCAACACATACTTCCTTGTTCTCCTTTGGCCTTTTACAATTTGTCCAGTCTGCTTCCGGACCTCACATGCTACAGACATCAAGAACAGCGGAATACTTCTAGAGGTGAGTCACTTCTGGGATTTCTGACATGCGCCATGTGCTAAGAAAAGTGTACTACGAACGAGCATTCATGCCAACATTGCGCAAGGATCTTTGAATTCGTTTCAAACTCGATACCCTTCACCGTTTTGCGGATTCATGATGCTGACAGGGGGCGTTTTCCCCTGTACGCAGATACGCGTACTCCAGTCCCGATCCTTCGAGGTCCGGCAGTTGGACTCATTAATGGGCCCCGCACATTGCCAATCTTTGTCTCAGAACAAGGATCGATGCGTGCAGTCATTCCATGCTGCTTGGATCAGTCGGCCAGCTCGAGAATTGGGCCATCCATAGTCCCTCGTTCAATCTTCAGCTCACTGTCTTTCCTTCATTATTTATCGGAACAACGCTACCAGTACAATGCCGACCTTTGCTCCAAAGTACACCTTATTGGCCGAAGATGGGGAAATGTCATCAGACCCTAAATACCGAAGAATATGGAAAGCTTCAACGCTCTCCGCCTTGCAAGTGCTCTACCACCTTTCGCTTCATATCACTGTTTTCATCCTTCTATTTCTCCTATGGCATGCAGAACATCGAACCCTTCCAACACCAAGCCTACTCGCCTCGGAGCTCTGTAAGTACATGTGCTCCTAGAATAACGACGACTCACATCAAAAAGCATCCGCTGCCGAAGCCGTCGAGTACGAAACAACATACTTCAACCCAAGCGGCTTCTCCCCAGTCAAGCTACCCCTAACTCCCTACGAAGGCCCACCCAGCCCCTCGTCAAACTCCGCCTGGCATGATCTGTACGATGTCGGCATGTACGTCCTTAACAGCAGCGCCTACACTTCTCTTGGTCTCCAGACAGCCGAGCTCATCGACCAACCCGGCAACTATCTCATCACTCTCGAAGTATTCCACCAATTGCACTGCCTAGACTACATTCGGTTAGCCGCGTACGCCTCACACAACCACAAACACACTCATCATGAAGGCGAGAGTGAGTGGAGCAAGGAGAAGCATTTGAGTCATTGCGTAGACTACTTGAGGCAGGTTTTGATGTGTCACGGCGATTTGACGCCGATTTCGTTGGTGAGGAGGGACGGGGTAGCGAAGGGGGAGCCACCGTATAGACCAGATTTTAGTATTAGGCATACGTGTCGGAGGTGGGAGAAGATTTGGGAGTTTGCGGAGAGGGGCAATACGTCGGGATTTGGTGTTGCTTGATTGCGTAAATTAGCATGTAATGGGATACTTTGGTTCGAATTGTGCACGGCTGGACGCGGACCAGGTTTAATCTTTGTTCCAGTCACAGTCATGCGGCATAAGCGT